TCCTAGGAACAGAGTCCTTCTTAAAAATCAGATAGTCGCTCTCTTAGTCAAGATATAAAGGAGGGCAGGGGCTGTAAATTTGAACCACACACACACAGACTGTTTGCCCTGCTGTCCCATCAGGGCCTCGAAAGCCGGCGGTTCCAAAGAACTTCGAGAGGGGAGATAGGTCACTTCGAGCCATGAGGCATGGCTCATCGTGCAGAGTGCGAATAGGTCGGAGGACTTTTACGACAATTTTGTTTTTAAGAATGCGATTTGCTTGTTAATTCAATTGAATTATGATTTAACAATGACGAGCGAACAATTGCTTTCTGCGAGAGGAAATGCATCTCAATGAGTAATAAATGAGCAGAGCAGAACGTGACTTTTTTCGTTTCAGATTCAGTTTAAGTGTGGCTATTCTGCGAGGTTCAGTGTACGCCATGGGCGGTTGTCGTTGTGACAGAACGGCAGAAAGTTATGACCCCAAGACGAACAAGTGGTCGTGGATCGCTCCCATGAACACAGAGCGATCCGATGGAAGTGCGGCTGCACTGAATGGTACGTAAATCCTATGAAACAGAAATTTGTGAATTAGTGCAGAAGGCGAGGCGTCTGTCTGTCTGTCCGCGTGTAAAAACTAAGAACGGTTGAAGGAATCGCAGGATTTGAGGTTATCATGGTGTCTAATACGAAGCTGGCTGTCGTTTGGCTTCTGCCGACGTTTCAGACGAACTTTACGCCTTCATCATCAAGGCGTTCCTCCTTGCTCTTGAACTTAGTTTCCCTCATTCCCTCGTCCCGTATTCTTTATTATCTCTTTCTTTTATCCGTGCTACGGTCTTCGTTATTTCACAGACTGCAACGGCTTGAAGTTGATGGATTCTTCTGCTCTCGTAAGCTGTCCCTGTATATCGCCTTCTGCCTTTGTAGTTTAAACTAGGAGTGAATGCAAACATCCATGAAACTATCAAACTGGCTCTCAAATAATACGGATTTAATATGTGTTTGAGACAGTTAATAATCTCATGTAAACAGCACATTGTATTATAAATGTAGAGCACCTTTTAGCAGCTCGTACCGTACATCTCTGATACCAAATTTAATAAAACTCGTTTCACAGAAGACGTAACTTACCATCATTTCCGTTATTCATTAATTTAAGCATTTTAAGCTGTTTATGTTAAATTTTATCAGTTACTCTCGTTTCCTTTGACACGCCGATGGTCTGCATTTGAAACAAAGAAACAGATGAACAGAGACGGCCGTGTCTGTGCAGTTTCTGTGACTCGAAGGGGGACTTAATAGATTTACAAATTTAAGAAGGGATTGTCCCATATCTGTGCTCTGCACGGACCAGTTTAATTCCTCTCCCTAAAACAAATATGTGTACAGTTCGTGTCATAATTTGTTTTTACAGACAAAATGTACGTCGCTGGTGGATGTAGTGTTGGTGATATTCAAAACTCGGTGGAAGTTTATGACCCGGACACCGACCTATGGACGTTCGTTGCTCCAATGCATTCTGGACGTTGGCCTTTTTCTTGTGTCGAGTTCCACGGCTGTCTGTACGCCCTAGGTGAGAACTCTGGACATTCTGAGTGATGCTCTTCTGTCCTCCTCACAGAATTTGCTGTTGTGAAATGTTTTCCTGGTATTTTTGAGTGCTTGAAATTTAAAGAACAGAATTTTTCTCCTGTCTTCACAGAGTTAGTTTGTCAGTAATTTTAACCCCGATTCGTGGTTTCGATTACATTCTCCACAAAGAACACTTAACTAACTAACTAACTAACAACGCACAATCTCTTGTGGTATCTCAACTAACGCATGCCCCATTTTTCACACAGTCGCAGTTTTACAGGTAAATATTTCGTTCTTGTAGCAAGGAAATTTCAGTTTGCCGTGCTGTTATCCCCAAAAAGCCGATGGTTTAAAGCATTCCCTTCGCAGTCTTGTGTTTCGTCACTTGTTTTCTAACGCCATTTTGAACAGAGCATCTTGTGTTGTTGTTGAACTCTATTTTCGTAATCAGTTTCATGAAACAGACGACAGATGTCAGGCTCAATTTCCTGTTGCTACAAGTACGAAAATAATATTTTAGCTATTTCATCATTTAATTCGTTCCTGCTATTAATATTAACAATGCAAGAGGGAATTAATTTTCTTCGTTGTATTTAATTCATTCGTTCCGTTTACGGAATTACAAATTTTAAGAGCGTAAATTCCGTTGGTTAAGAGGGACGGAGTGTGAAGCATCGAAATTACGAGAAATACAAACATGTAGAAAGTTATAATTGGTAATGTTGAAGGTAAGATACCACTTGTGATACATATGCGTAAAAGGAAGTATGATATTAAAATATTTTATGGAAGTAGAGTATGTGAGAAAGATTCAACTACAGGCTTTTGTGAATACGGTAATGGCTCCATAAAGGCCAGACATTTCGTGGCCATTTGACAGAGTAATGAATATCAAGATGGGCCCCGCTGAATGGGGTTAGAATAATTTATCGTTTGGTAGTTTTTTTTATATCCTGTGACCTGTTACTGAATGTGTGTGTGCAGGAGGACACAACTTGACATCATCCAAGCTCAGTACCGAAAAGTACGTCCCTGCAGAAGACACGTGGACCAAGATCCCTTACATGAACTTCTATGCATATAAACTCAACGCAGAAGTGATCGACGATATGATCTTCGTCATCACTGGATATTATGACAGGACCAAATTCGTACCCCAAGTCGCATGTTTCGATGACAAGGAAAATCGATGGTTTGTTTCTTTGTTTCTGTTACTTTTGGAAAGCACTAGGAAGTGAATCATTTCCGGTCAAAATAACCGCGATCTTGCTGATATTGTCGAAGAAAGTGACCGACGTTTTAGAGGTTCTTCCTGCTTACTAAGGGTCTTGAATAAACGCGCGAAAAATGGGATTGAGGAAGGGGGTAGAATGAACGCAGGCAGGGAGATTGTGCAGTCAAGCTGAATCGTTAAAGCAGAGGGCGAATGACTAGGAAATGTTAATCAGACGTGAGCCGTGACTGCATTAATAAGAGGCTCTTTGACTAAGTTTGTTTGATCAGTGGCACTCTCTTGGGCAGGAATCTTCTGGCGTTCAGCAAATCAGCATCGCCACAATCTTCGGCTTTCGTCAAAGTGTTAGGCCAGTTTCAGGTTTAACGACGCCTACCGCCTCATGTTCCCATTTCTGATGGAAGTTTATTTCAAAATGGCTGTCTCTTGGCGTGTTTAACCACGCAGTCTCCTGAAATCTGTTGACGGAGTTGGTAAGGGGCTCCAAAAACATCCCAGAAGCCATATTTCTTCATACTTGTTTGTGCAAGAGCCAGAAATCCTACGGAAATAAATTTAATTTTGGTTTTTGTCTGTCTTACGTGTAGCAGAACCTCTCCAGAACAATTTTTGTTGGGACAAAATCTTTTTTGAAAATGTATTGCTAAAAGAGGGAAATATTGTCATGTGCGCGTGTCTCAAACAAGACACGCTTATCTCCCCAAATAAAATTTATGATTAAATTTATTTTTCTGACCTAAGCTAATGGCTTAATGAAATGTACCAAACGTCGCTAGCCAGAACACAAGTCATTTGACATCGTTTTAAATTAGTCATAACCTCTCCCTCCATTTTGATGTAATAAAATGTATTACCTTATAATAGCAATATGGCTGGGGTTTTATGTGCATGAGTGAAAGAAAGATCACGTGGGAACTGTTCTGAAATATGGTGAGGCAATCGTGCGTCGTCAGACAGAACACAAAATAATAATAATAATAATAAGCATCCGAGTTATGACGGCATGGCCGGGGTTATATGTGCATGAGTGAAAGAAAGATCACGTGGGAACTGTTCTGAAATATGGTGTGGGAATGAATTCCGTTTGGAGAATTTTTGTTAAGGTTGTCAGGAAACAAAATACAAGCAACGACATTTCGGTGGAAACTGTGCCCTCAGCTTCAAGCAGTTTCCCATTCTACACAAAGACATGGATATTTTTAGGTTAACATATTTTACGACTCACAAAGATATTTTTAAGAAAATTGTTAAATTTTACATAAATGCACTGACATTCAAATTACATTTCTATTAAATTTGTATTAAATAAATTATTTATGGTAGAAGACGCATTCCTTCGTGAGTTACATCATCTCATGTTTTCTGTACCTGTCAGTGAAATGTGATAAAATTTGTCTTGAGTGTAGATTATACTAATGGACGATGAAAGTTGTTTTCATTTTTAATGTTTCAAATTGCAGGCACCAGGTGGCAGACTTGAATGTTTGTAGATACGGAATTTCGACTTGTGTCATCGAGAACCTACCAAAGGCAAGCGATTACGCCTACAAGCACAGAGACAAATTGATAGTGGAGAAACGCAAAAGAACCTTAGATTTAGAAAATCAATAGTTTTTGCGGTTGATTACAACCACAGCGAACACTTTAAGTTAACTTAACATGTTCGTTGATTCTTTTACATTTAGCGTCCTTTTTTGCGTTTTTCCTCCATTAATTTGTCTCTGTGCTTCACACTCCGTCCGTCTTAACCAACGGACGTTACACTCTTAAAATTTGTAATTCCGTAAACGGAACGAATGAATTAAATACAACGAAGAAAATTCATTCCCTCTTGCATTGTTAATATTAAGAGCAGGAACGAATTAAAGGATGAAATAGCTAAAATATTATTTTCGTACTTGTAGCATCAGGAAATTGTGCCTGACAACTGTTGTGTGCTTCATGAAACTGCGTGCGAAATTAACTTTAAATATCAACACTAGATGGACTGTTCCAAACGGCGTTACACAAACAAGTGACGAAAAAGAAAGCCTACGAAGGGACTGCTTTAAACCATCAGCTTTTTGGGGATGACAGCGGCAAACTGAAATTTCCTTGTACAAGAACAAAATATTTAGTTGTAAAACTGCTACTGTGTGAAAAATTGAGCATACGTAACTTGAGATACCACAATAGATATTGTTAGTTAATTAGTTAGTTAGTTAAGTGTTCTTTGTCGAGAATGTAATCGAAACAACGAATCGGGGTTAAAATTACTGACAAACTAACTCTGTGATGACATGAGGAAAATGCTGTTCATAAAATCTCAGTCACTCAAAGAAAACCAGGAAAACATTTCACAACAGCAAGTTCTGTAAAAATGATAGAGGACCATCACTCGGAATGTCCAGAGTTCTCACCTAGGGCGTACAGACAGCCGTGGAACTCGACACAAGAAAAAGACCAACGTACAGAATGCATTGGAGCAACGAACGTCCATCGGTCGGTGTCCGGGTCATAAACTTCCAGCGAGTTTTGAATATTACCAACACTACATCCACCAGCGACGTACATTTTGTCTGTAAAAACAAATTATGACACGAACTGTACACATATTTGTTTTAGGGAGAGCCATTAAACTGCTCCGTGCAGAGCACAGACATGGGACAATTCGTACTTAAATTTGTAAATCTATTAAGTCCCCCTTCGAGTCACAGAAACTGGACGGACACGGCTGCCTCTGTTCATTTGTTTCTTTCTTTCGAATGCAGACAATCAGCGTGTCAAAGGAAATTAGTTTAACTGATAAAATTTAACATAAACAGCATAATGTGCTTAAATTAATGCATGATGTAAATGAAGGTAAGTTACGTCTTCTGTGAAACGAATTTTATTAAATTTGGTATCAGAGATGTACGGAACGAGCTGCTAAAAGGTGCTCTACATTTATAATATAACGCGCTAATTACGTGAGATTATTAACTGTTTCAAAAACATTACATCTGTATTTTATGATAGCCAGTTTGATAGTTTGATGGTTGTTTGCATTCACTCCTAGTGCACACTAAAAGGCAGAAGGCGACGCACAGGGACAGCTTACGAAAGCAGAAGAATCCATCACGCACTCAGAACTTCAAGCCGTTGAAGTCTGTGAAATCACGTAGTCCGTGGCACGGATAAAAGCAATAGATAATGAAAGAATATGGGACAGTGGAGTGGGGGAAACTTAGATCAAGAGCGAAGAGGAATGCCTTGATGATGAAGGAATTAAGTTCGTCTGAAACGTCGGCGGATGTCAAACGACGGCCATCTTCGTACTACCCACCGTGAGAACCTCAAATCCTGCGAATTTTTATACACTACTCCGGTGAGTGGCCCAAGGACTTTCTGGAAGTAACAATGATTCCATTACAGAAGAAAAAGAATTCAAAGAAGTGCGGCGATTACAGGACCATCAGCCTAATCTCACATGTGGCGAAGATAATGACTAAAAGACTAGAAAAGAAGATAGAGGAAGTGATGGGAGACGACCAATTTGGATTCAGGAGAGGAAGAGGAAGCAGAGATGCCATCGGAGTTATGAGAATAATTTCAGAGAGAGTTCTCGATGTCAAGGAAGAAGTATGTGCCTGCTTCATCGACTGGAAGAAGGCTTTCGATCGAGTAAAATGGAAGAAATTAATGAGGATCCTACAGAGAATTGGAATTGATTGGAGAGATAGAAGACTAATCGAAAACCTGTACA